AAAAAAAATACAGACTTTATAAAGTTAGTTCAGGAAAGTCACTAAATAAACAAACAGAAGCTACTACAACAAGCAGCAACAACAAAAAAATGGAAAAAAGGTGAATCAGATTTCCAGAGTTGCCACATTATATTATTTAAAACATTAAGTTTTCAAAAAAGTATTGATACTTACAAAGAAACAGGAAAATATGGCCCATACACAGGAAAAGAAAAAGCAATCAATAGAAACTGCTCCCAAGGAACTCCCAGTGTTGGACTTTAAATAATCTATTTTAAACACATTTGAAAAAATAAAGGAAGCCATGTCTAAAGGACTAAAGAATGGCAGTGGTGTTTCATCAAGCAGCCATCAATAAAGAAACAGAGATGATAAAAAGAAACCAAATAAAAATTTGGTTAAAAAATAAAATATTTTTTTATTATTTTATAGATTTAAAAAATAAAATAATTGAAATAGCAAATTCATTAGAGGGGTTCAACATCATATTTGAACAGGCAGAAGAATCAGTGAGCTTGATGATAGATCAACTGAGATTATCCAATCTAAGGAACAGAAAGTAAAAAGAAGTTTAAAAAAAATGAACATCCAACAAAGGACTAACATCCAGGATCTACAAGAAACTCAGAACAACTCAAAAAGAAGAAAAACATAACCCCATTAAAAAGTGAGCAAACAACATGAACAGGCATTTTTCAAAAGACATACAAATGGCCAATGAACATAGGAAAAAGGGCTCAACATCACTAATCACCAGAGAAATGCAAATTAAAACAACAATGAGATACCATCTTACAACACTCAGAACAGCTATTATTAAAAAGTCAAAAAATGACAGATGTTGGCAAATATAGAGAGAAAAGGGAAACAAATGTAAATTAGTACAACCTCTATGGAAAACACTATGGAGATTTCTCTAAGAACTAAAAATAGAAATAGAACTACCATTCAATCCAGCAATCCCACTACTGTGTATCTACCCAAAGGAAATCACTATATCAAAGCACTATTCACAATAGAAAGATATGGAACCAATCTATCTAACAACAGATGGTTGGATAAAGAAAATGCAGTATACATTTACCATAAAATACTACTGAGCCACATAAGAAAATGAAGTTTTTATCCATGTCCTTTGCAGCAACATGGATAGACTTGGAGGCCATTATCCTAAGTGAAATAATTCAGAAACACAAAGTCAAATACCACATATTCTCATTTACAAGAGGATATGGAACTAAGTAATATGTACACATGGACACATGGAATGTAATAATAGATACCAGAGACTTGGAAAGGTGGGAGGATGAGAGGGGTTGAGGGATGAGAAATTACCTAATGGGTAAAATGTTAACTATTCGGGTGATGCTTATACTAAAAGCCTAGATTTAACCAGTATGCAATATATCCATGTAATAAAACTGTACTTGTTCCCTCTAAATCTATTTTTAAATTAAAAAGTAAAAATTATTAAAAACAAAACTGTAACAAGTGCAGATAACTGTAAAAGGTAATAATTATAAATCTGTGTTGAAGTGCACAGAATGTATAAAGATGTACTTTTTTTTTCTCAGCTCACTGCAACCTCCACTTCCTGGGTTCAAGCAATTCTCCTGTCTCAGCCTCCCAAGTAGCTGGGATTACAGGCACGCACCACCAAGCCCAGCTAATTTGTGTTATTTTTTTAGAAGAGATGGTGTTTTACCATGTTGGTCAGGCTGGTCTTGAACTCCTAACCTCAAGTGAGCTGTCCTCCTTGGCCTCCCAAAGTGCTGGGATTACAGGTGTGGGACACTGTGCCCAGCCAAGATGTACTTTGTATGACAATAACAGCACAAAGGAGGAAGGAGGGAATGGAGGCATACTGAAGCAAAGTTTTTGTATACTAGTGAAATTAGACTGGTACTAATCCAAACTAAACTGTTGTAAACTGTCAGTAGTAAGCCCCCAAGTAACCCCTAAGAAAATAACAAAAAATAGTAAAAAGAAAGGGTAAGGGAAATAAAACAGTACACTAGAAAATATCTATCTAACACAAAGTCAGTAATGGAGTAATAGAAAATTCAAAAAGACACTGCATACAGAAAACAAGAAGCAAAATGGCTGGCATAAATTTCACCTTATCAAAACTGCATTAAACATAAATGGATTCAACATTCCAATATAAGTATAGAAATTGTCTAAATGGACTTTTTCCTGATTCAGTTATATGTAGTACACAAGAAATACACTTAAATTAAAAGACACAGATAGGCTGAAAGCATGGAAAAATATATACAATGCAAACAGTAACAAACGGAGAGCTTGACTGAGTATATTACCATCAGAAAAAATTGTCTTTAAGACAAAAATTATTATTAGAGACAAAGAATATTTTATAAGTATAAAAAGGTCAATTTATCAAGAAGATATAACAATTATATACATATATTTCTCAAAATAAAGCCCCAGAATACATGAAACAAAAATTAAAAGAAACAAAGGGAGAATTAGACAGCTCAACAGTAATAGTTGGAAACTTCAAAAGTTCATTTTCAATACAGGATGTAACATGACAGAAAATCAGAAAGAAAACAAAAGATTTAAACAACACTAATAAACTAATTAGATCTAACAGACATTTATAGAATTCTCCATTCAGAGGGAGAGATCCAAGATGACTATTTAGGAACAGCTCGGGATTGCAGCTCCCAGTGAAAGCACAGAGGGTGAGTGGATGCCGCATTTTTATTGCCCACAGACCAGGAGTTTCCCAGGCAGAGGAGCCCCACGGGTCGCCAGAACGGCTGCTTTGCCCGCACCGCGCCATGCGGTTCCCCATACAAAATACACTGGTCCGGGTGCCCTTTTAGCTGGCGATTGGAGCCGCGGGAAGTCGTCCATTCATCTGATTAAAAAGGGGACTGAACAGGGAGCCAGGCCAGGAGATTCGTGGGCAAAAAAAGCGCCACAAATCTCAGCACCGCTGTTTAAGCCAGCCCAGTGAGTCGCCACACGGGAAATCACACAGATCCCGGCACCTTTTCAACAGGCGACTGGAACACCTGGGAGAGAGTTGACTGTTCAACTAAAAAAAAA